AACTTCGGATGCACGAATCGAATTTTCCCAAAAATGGCGGCGACATGTGTGGCGACGGAGCGGGGATCTCTGGGAAGGCGCGCAGACAAGGCGCGCTGACCCATAATGCATTCATTCATGACATGTGATCGCATTAGCCAATCAGCAGCCAGCCAGCCAGCACTGTGTAATGGTGGAGCTATAAATCGCGGCCATCTTAGAATTCTCCATTAGCATCCGGTCATTCAAGAGAGACAGACCTCTGTGTATTAGGGACAGAGTTAGGGCCACAGAGACTTTAGGGCCACAGAATCGTTACTTAGGGACACAGAATCGTTACTTAGGGACACAGAATCGTTACTCAGGGACACAGAATTGTTACTCAGGGACACAGAATTGTTACTCAGGGGACAGACACAGAATTGTTACTCAGGGACAGACACAGAATTGTTACTCAGGGACACAGAATTGTTACTCAGGGACACAGAATTGTTACTGAGGGACACAGAATCGTTACTCAGGGACACAGAATTGTTACTCAGGGACACAGAATTGTTACTCGGACAGACACAGAATTGTTACTCAGGGACACAGAATTGTTACTCAGGGACACAGAATTGTTACTGAGGGACACATAATCGTTACTCAGGGACACAGAATTGTTACTCAGGGACACAGAATTGTTACTCAGGGACAGACACAGAATTGTTACTCAGGGACACAGAATTGTTACTCAGGGACACAGAATTGTTACTGAGGGACACAGAATCGTTACTCAGGGACACAGAATCATTACTAAGGGACACAGAATTGTTACTCAGGGACACAGAATCGTTACTCAGGGACACAGAATTGTTACTCAGGGACACAGAATCGTTACTGAGGGGACACAGAATCATTACTCAGGGACACAGAATCGTTACTCAGGGACACAGAATCGTTACTCAGGGACACAGAATCGTTACTCAGGGACACAGAATCGTTACTCAGGGACACAGAATTGTTACTCAGGGACACAGAATCGTTACTGAGGGACACAGAATCGTTACTGAGGGACACAGAATCGTTACTCAGGGACACAGAATCGTTACTCAGGGACACAGAATCGTTACTCAGGGACACAGAATCGTTTACTGAGGGACACAGAATTGTTACTCAGGGACACAGAATTGTTACTCAGGGACACAGAATTGTTACTCAGGGACAGACACAGAATTGTTACTCAGGGACACAGAATCGTTACTCAGGGACACAGAATCGTTACTCAGGGACACAGAATCGTTACTCAGGGACACAGAATCGTTACTCAGGGACACAGAATCGTTACTGAGGGACACAGAATCGTTATGAGGGACACAGAATTGTTACTCAGAGACACAGAATTGTTACTCAGGGACACAGAATTGTTACTCAGGGACACAGAATCGTTACTCAGGGACACAGAATCGTTACTCAGGGACACAGAATCGTTACTCAGGGGACACAGAATCGTTACTCAGGGACACAGAATTGTTACTCAGGGACACAGAATCATTACTCAGGGACACAGAATCGTTGAATTAAAGAGTATGTCAGAAAACAGCGCAGATGAGTGGCAGAGGAGGCAATGTTTCAGGAGCGAGCAGACGTGGCAGCAGAGGAAGGGGTCGAGGCAGCACTAGTCGTAGCCAGAGGCCAGTGCTCCCGGTGTCATCCAGCAGTCGTGTCTCCACCGACAACCCTGCCGTCATCGATTGGTTGGCTCGGTCGTCTTCCTCTTCCCAGGTCACCTCTGACACCTACAGCCAACGGTCGGTGGGTACGTCAGACACAACCGTTAGTTGGCATGGCCCGGGAGCAAGCCCACTGAAATCACGTGTCCTCTACCTGCCCCTGTCCTTTGGTGTTCCCTCACCAAGCGAAGTATCGCATGCTGTGGGCTCAGCCCCACTGTACAGTGAGGAAGAGCTAACAGAGGGCGGTCAGGAACGGGGGGAGAGACATCCGCCTCTTCAGCAGCCAGGCAAAGAAGTACTGGCGAGGAGAGTGGCTCGGTAGCCGGTCTAGAGACAGGTCTGTCTCCTGACCCACACGCAGCCGAGGGGGCTAGTAGTGAGGCGGAGACCCTAATTGATGATGATGAGGCTGATCGCACTTGGCAGCCTCGTCGTCATCAGGCTATTGCTTCCGCATCATCAGGAGAAGAGGGTGCCAGCTTGGCAGCGAGCAAAACAGTCGGTGGGTTGCCCAGGAGGCAGCAGGGTCGCAGCAGTGTCAGTGGAGGCAAACGGCCACGGAGTAGAGCACCAGCTCCACTGCAGCCTACCACCATGGCCAGTAGTGGTGCCGGTGTGCACGGAGGAAGTAGCAGTCAGCCAGTGAGGAGTAGCGGGGGCAAAGTTTCCTACTCGGCGGTGTGGCAATTTTTCGTGAAGCCGCCCGAGGAAGTAAACGTAGCCGTATGTCGACTATGTGGCCAGAAAGTCAAGCGTGGCCAGGGGGCCCATGTTAGGACTACAGCGTTGCGTCAGCATATGCAGCGTCGCCATTCGGTGGCCTGGGAAAACCGTGATAAAGATACGGCGGTTCTGCCTGCCCCAGCCCCCGCTCCATCACCCGCTTCGTTACTTGCTCCGTCACCTGACGTCAATCGCCCTCTATCAGCCAGTCAAGGCTCCAACACCTCTGCTGAGGGGAGTTGTCGCTCGTTGGCATCTTCCGCTCGTTCAGATGCTCCTTCTCCTGCTACACGGATTCCGTCAGCAGTCTTTCTTGGAATCCGTTTCCAAGAGACAACAGTTTGCAAGCACGCACCCGACGGTGCAGAAGCTGAACGTCCTCCTGTCCAAGTTGCTGGTGCTGCAGTCCCTCCCTTTCCAAGTGGTGGACTCAGCACCTTTCCGAGAAATGATGGCTTGTGCCGAGCCGCGGTGGAGAGTGCCAAGCCGGCATTTCTTCGCCAAAAAGGCAGTGCCAGCCCTGCATTCACATGTAGAAGAGATGGTGGGCCAGTCTTTGAGCATGTCAGTCTCTGCCAAAGTGCACGGCAGCGCCGACGTGTGGAGCTGTAACTACGGTCAGGGACAGTACATGTCATTTACGGCCCACTGGGTGAACGTGGTGCCGGCACAGCCGCACCAGCAACTTGGACAGGTCACGCCGCTTTTGCCTCCACGTTTGCACGTCCTTGGTCCAGCAAAGATGTCCGCCTCTACCACCTCTTCTTCCGCCGTGTCCTCAGCCGCCACCCCCGTGCCAAGTCCCATTACCCGACCGGCATATCACATGTGCAGGGTGCAACGGTGTCACGCTGTGCTGCACCTGGTATGCCTTGGCGAACGTAGTCACACAGGGGAGGAACTTCTGAGTGTAATGAACAGAGAAATCGACAGATAGCTGTCTCCGCGCAAACTGAAAATCGGAACCATGTTGACCGACAACGGAAAGAACATGGTGTCTGCTCTGCATCAAGGAAGGTTGTGCCATGCGCCATGCATGGCTCACGTGTTCAATCTGGTTGTCAAGCGGTTCTAAAATCCACCATCCCACTGCAAGACATCCTTAAAATGTCACGTAAACTTTGCATGCATTTCAGCCATTCCTACACCGCAAAGCACACCCTCCTTGAGCTGCAGCGGCAGAACGGAATTCCACAGCATCGCCTGATCTGCGACATTGCAACAAGGTGGAATTCAACCCTACATATGTTAGACCGCCTTTACGAACAGCGAAAGGCCATCACCGATTTCCTGATGTTACAAGCGGATAAAGGTACTCCCCTGTGTAACTTAGATGTCAGCCATTGGCAGCTCATGCGTGACACCTGCCGCTTGCTCAGGCCCTTTGAGGAGGCCACGCTATTCGTGAGTCGGCAGGACTATGGGATGAACTACGTCATTCCTCTGTTGCACGTCCTGGAACAAATGCTGTTAACAATGGCTGGTCAGGGTGCGGTAGACGTGGCGCACAGATCTCAATGCCACATGACCCCTGTGGGGGCAGGACAGGAAGAAGAGGAGGAGGTAGAGGAGGACATTGGTGCTCAGGAATTATTGAGTGAAATGGGTGGTTTTTCCACTCAGCGGACAGGAGTGGAGGAGCAGGAGCATCTGGTAGAGGAGGAGGAGGAGACAGAGGACCCAGACGCACCGTGGCAGTATGCTGTGGAGATGGAGGCAGGGAGTCCCTCGCATTCCTTGGCACAAATGGCCCATAGCATGCTCGGTTGCTTGCGTAGCGACAGCCGAATAATAACCATCAGACAGAGGGATGACTTTTGGCTGTCCACCTTGTTGGACCCTCGCTACCGTTCAAAAATGGTGGCCTTTTTCACACCTGCTGAGAGGGAGGCCAAAATAACGTACTATAAAAAACACCTATGTAGTCAGTTGGTCTCTGCCTTTCTGCGCCAACGTCCATCCTCAGACACTGTGGGCCCTGTGCGCTCGCGTTCCGCTGCCATGGCAGCAGGGGAGGGGTGGGGTGGTAGGAGCAGTGGCAGCTCCACCAGCAGCGGCTGCCTCAGTCTGCAGTCGATGATGAGTAGCTTTCTTCACCAGCGCAGTGAGGAAACTACTAACCAGCCGCAGCAGCAGCAGCATCAAGTGGACCTGGAGCAGGACCTCAAACAACAGGCTTGGGCCTACTTGGACAGCACCCTGCCAACCGAGGTAGACAATCCCCTTGACTACTGGGCAACGAAACTTGACCTTTGGCCCCAACTAGCTGAATTTGCCCTTGAAAGGCTGTCATGCCCGGCCAGTAGCGTGGCATCGGAGCGCGTGTTTAGTGCGGCAGGAGGTACTGTAACTCCGCGGAGGACACGACTGTCCACCCAAAGTGTGGAGAGACTCACGTTTGTGAAAAATGAATCAGGCATGGATTAGTCTGGATTTCAAACCACCAGTTCCTGACACAACTGACTAAATCCGCCATGAATCATGCCCCAAACATGTTATTATTTTTAACATAGGCCTCTGTATGGCCTTCAATTTAAGCTGCTTACGCTTCGCCACTCTGCCATGGGCCCCTGTACCGCCTCCTCTTGCTGCTGCCAGGTCCAGAGTGTGTCATGGGTCCCTGTACGGCCTCCCATTGCTGCTGTCTCCATCGCCACAGTCTGCCATGTGCCACTTTCAGGTCTCCTCACACTGCTGGTGGGTTCCATTTTGTCATAGGGTGCTGGCAGATTACGGGCCTCCCATTGCTGCTGCCAGGCCCGTAATCTGCCATGGGCCCCCGTACCGACTCCTCATGCTGCTGCCAGGTCCAGAGTGTGTCATGGGTCCCTGTACGGCCTCCCATTGCTGCTGCCAGGCCCGTAATCTGCCATGGGCCCCCGTACCGACTCCTCATGCTGCTGCCAGGCCCGTAATCTGTCATGGGCCCCTGTACCGCCTCCTCATGCTGCCGCCAGGTCCAGAGTGTGTCATGGGTCCCTGTACGGCCTCCCATTGCTGCTGTCTCCATCGCCACACTCTGCCATGTGCCACTTTCAGGTCTCCTCACACTGCTGGTGGGTTCCATTTTGTCATAGGGTGCTGGCAGATTACGGGCCTCCCATTGCTGCTGCCAGGCCGTAATCTGCCATGGGCCCCCGTACCGACTCCTCATGCTGCTGCCAGGCCCGTAATCTGTCATGGGCCCCTGTACCGCCTCCTCATGCTGCTGCCAGGTCCAGAGTGTGTCATGGGTCCCTGTACGGCCTCCCATTGCTGCTGTCTCCATCGCCACACTCTGCCATGTGCCACTTTCAGGTCTCCTCACACTGCTGGTGGGTTCCATTTTTTCATAGGGTGCTGTATGGCCTCCCATTGCTGCTGCCTCCACCGCCACACTGTGGCTCCACACTCTGGTTTTGGCCCCGTGACTGCCCAAATGAGTGAAGTGTGCGGTGATTCTAAGATCGACGGCACTCATCTGCATGTCATACTGACTGACAGTATTATTTCTCTTCCCAGCAGACTCCAAGGGCATTTAAATTAAAGGTACAGTGTTCTGCACTAATATAAAGGCTCTCTGAAGCCTAGAAACACCCTTTTTATAAGTTAAATTCGCAGCGAATATATTCGACTCGAATCGAATTTATTCCGTGAATTCGCCGAATCAGCCGAATCGAATTTTTGAATAATTCGCTCATCTCTAATTAACATAGATCAGTGGTGCCTTGCGTTGGTCTTTGCTGATTGCCACCATTTCATTCTTCCACAGGTTTGTAATTTAGCAATAACTGACATAGAAGGCCCAATGGTCTTTAGCTGATATTTGTTTTCCTCCTCCACAGCACAGTGAGTCATCGACTCCAAGAAAGCACGTATAGCAGGTGGAGGCATCCACCCCACCCACTGATACTCTTTTTCTCCGCTCATTCTTTTTGTGATTTCAAACTAAAAAATGGATAAAATTGTAGAAAAACAACTTTTTATATGATATGGAAGTAACTTCAGCTTGCTTTAGTCTAGAACTATCATTTTAATGTTGTTACAAGCTGGTTAAATCACATAAAATGTGCAGTTTGGTAAGAGAAGGCATGTCTTAGTACCCCTCCACCCAGGGCTGCTGTTTGGAACCCCTATACAGCCAACCTGACAGGGTCCCTCCCCCCAAAAAAACCTAGTTTACTATTTTTAATTTATGAATGAACACAGCGAGTGACCATTACCGATAACTCATTGTGTTCATTCCGGAAAGGAAGGGACTGGTAAATGTGACATATTTACTGGACTCTTCCCCCACTCTCCATCCTGAAGGATCCTATTGTGCTTAAAACTTCTGGTGGGAAGAAGAGGAGGAAAGCCTACAGCACTGCAGGGTGGGGCACACACAGGGGCCTGGACAGAAGAGGAAAATGCATCATGCACACGGAGGGTGACGGATGTGGTGTGGATAGGGGGTGCAATTATGCGAACCAATCCCTTGTATGACTCTCTGCAGCAGCTGAAAGCAGGAAGAAGAGGAGAAGAAGCCAGCTTTCAGCTGCTGCAGAGAGAGAGCCATACAGGGGATAGGTTCCAGTAATTGCACCCCTGCTGTGCCGATCACCCTCCCTGCCCACATCTCATTCACTCAGCTGCCTGGGCTCCGTACAGGAGGACTGGTGGTATCCCCTTATCCACAGCCCTGCCTCCAACAAACCTCTTCAGTTTTCTATAAACTAAAAGATGGCAACCTTTAGCATCACTTTCTCTGTTAGAGTACAGAGACGTCACCTCCCCACCCACAGCCATTTTATTTATTTATTCCAGGTACTTTTATAGTGCAGTCAATTTACACAGCTCTTTACATAGATATTGTACATCCACATCAGTCCCTAACTCTAAAGGAGCTTACAATCTAAGGTTCCTTACTCACATTCACACATTTATATGCTTTGCACGTTTCATGTCTGAGGTTTACAACCACTTTAACCACCTCCCACCCGCCATATAGTAATATGATGGGCGCAAGGTGGTTCTCTCGTTCCGGGAGGACGGCATATGACGTCCTCCCATTCTCACTGCGCATGCGCGGCTCAGGGAGCGCGCAGCACGGCGATCGGCGGTATGCTGTGTCCCTCGGACACAGCGGAGCACCGATCACGGAAAGAGCCGAAGATGTCGGCTTGGTCATATGATCAGCTGTGTCCAATCACAGCTGATCACATGTAAACAGGGAAATGCCGGTTATTGGCATTTCTCTCCACTCGAGCTGTCACACTGACAGCTCGAGAGGAGAGGAGAGCCGGTAATCGGCTTTCTGCGGAGGGGACATGTACACTGATCATCAGGGCACTGATGATCAGTGTGCCCTGATGATCAGTGTAGCCCCAGCAGTGCCACCTGTCAGTGTCCATCAGTGCCAGCTGTCAGTGCTCATCAGTGCCACAAGCCAGTGCCCATCAGTGCCACATATCAGTGCCTACCAGTGCACATCAATGCCACATATCAGTGCCCATCTGAGTTGCCTTTCAGTATCACCCATCAGTGCCAGTCAGTGCCACCTATCAATGCCAATCAGTGCCACCTATCAGTGCTGCCAATCAGTGCCACCTATCAGTGCCAGTCAGTGCCGCCTATCAGTGCCAGTCAGTGCTGCCTATCAGTGTGCATCAGTGCCGCCTAACAGTGCCAGTCAGTGCCGCCTATCAGTGCCAGTCAGTGCCGCCTATGAGTGCCAGTCAGTGCCACCTATTAGTGCCAGTCAGTGCTGCCTATCAGTGCTGCCTTTCAGTGCCCATCAGTGATGCCTGTCAATGCCCATCAGTGCCACCTACTAGTGCCTCCTCATCAGTGCCACCTATCAGTGTCCATCAGTGCAGCCTATCATTGCCCATCAGTGCAGCCTCATTAGCGCACATCAGTGAAGGAGAAAAATCACTTATTTACAAAATTTTATAACAAGAACTAAGAAAAAACTTTTTGTTTTCAAAATTTTCAGTGGTTTTTGGTTTGTTTAAGAAAAAATTAAAATCCCGAGGTGATTAAATACCACCAAAAGAAAGCTCTGTCTGTCACAAAAAAATGATAAAAATTTCATATGGGCACAGTGTTGTTTGACCGCGTAATTGTCATTCAAAGTGTGACAGTGCTGTAAGCTGGAAATTGGCCTGGGCAGGAAGGGGGTATAAGTGCCCAGTAGGCTAGCGGTTAAGCAATTAAATCTGGAGAGATGTGATGATTTACTGGATAGAAATCCATTCTTTTTTCAGATTGACAGTCATATTAACAAAGGTTAACTGGAGGGCAGAGGCAGATATTTGATGTGATTTATGAAGTGGATGGATGTCCTGTAAGTACTCACTTCTGATGTAAATGTACAGTATAATTCAACACATGATGCTGGTAATTAATGAAACTCAAGTAGTTAGTCCTCATTGTGTCAATTTGCTAGTCTGTTATACTCCATGCAGTTAGTTACTCCTTTTATTATTATTAATTTATTTCTGGTACATATATACAGCGCCGCCTTTGCACAGCGCTTTCCATATATAATATACACTCAGCCCCTAACCCTCAAGGAGCTTACAATCTAAGGTCCATAATAGATTGTGTTTTCTGGTCTGCAGTGTACAGTATAGCCTGACCTTTTCATTATTCCCGATTCTGTTATCGGCATATCTATTATCTCTGCTTAGGATGCTGGTAGAGAGAGTGGAAACAATTGCTCTTGAGGAAAATATGTGAGATAAAGGAGAACAAGTCATACTATTTCTATTTAAGGATCACTTTGAGGTGTGACTATATTGAATACTAACATCTGAGGAAATGTGGGGTGGTCTGTTGTTACATTCAGAGAAATGTGGAAGAAATGCCAACATTTCATGCTCAAAATCCTCTGAAATTGCGCGAAGCTCCAGGGAGATTGCAAGCGGCAAAAATAATTGCTGCGGAGTATTAAAAATTATCCATACATGTAACAAGGATAAAAGGTCAGAGATGTGCAGACTGGCAAATGAATACATGAATGCAAGTTTTTGATTCATGTTGTTAAAGTAGTTCTGTTCTTATTTTTCTAGTTCAATAATTGTTATTGAATTTTCACAAAGCAGTGAACACAATAACAAAAGGTACAGCTGTAGTCTGTGAATACTGCCAATATAAAAATATAAAAGCTCGGTAATATCAAGTGCCTGAACCCTAGTATCCACAGGCTGAGGCTAATGGGGTAGAACATGAATTTATATAAATAGTAGGAAGGGGATGGAAAGAGGGGAAGGGTTCCCGGGGTTTGCTCTACCAATTAAAGCAGGGTGGAAAAACAAAAGGCTAGTTCACTTATCAACAGGCCAAGGCCCCAATAAAGACTCGTCAAAACCTGATGGAAGAAAGTGTGTAATCCAAGGCTGCCACAACTCACCCTAGCTTACTAGGTATTTTCCATCTTTCCATGGCTCATGGCCTGTGTGGCTATTCCCAGTGGTGTATTTAGGTTTTGTGCTGCCCTAGGCAACACAAAAATCATCTGACCCAATGGACACTGAACAACACCATCCCCTCTTCCCCCTCTTGCGGAGAGAGCCTGATATCGAACAACAACACCCCTGCCCACCACTCAGGAGAGCCTTCCACACTCATATTCAAAGCTCCGGACATCCCTGGGAATGGGAGTCAGGCTCTACATACACCATCAAGCAGTCCTCCGCCTCTCTTGGATCCACCTGGTTCCCATGGCACGCGTGTCCCTTCTTTCATCCTTTCTTCTGGGGGAGATGCTGCCTCCCTGAAAAATGCCGCCTTAGGCAAGTGCCTTGTTTGCCTTGTGGTAAATACGCCCCTGGCTATTCCTACTCTCGGTAATGCACAGCTTAGGTGTTTTCCAGGCCTTCACTAATGTCTGTTTAGCAGCAGTTGTGAACTGCAGGAGAAGATAAATGGCCTTTCAAAGAGCTCAAAGGGGTTTCTATTAAGTAGAGCAACCGTAGGGAAAGTGATATACTGAAAAGTGTCTTAAGCATCCCAAAAACTTCAGCCCAGAAAGTGAATACTAGGGGACATATCCACATTATGTGGGGAAGGGGGGTACCCAATTCCCCACAACCCCCAAAGCAAGCAGGA